TTACTATGTTTTACTTCAAACCTTCAAGAATAGAGCTTCAAAGTTTCATCTCTGCACCCTTGATAGTTTTTGAGGTGAAAATTCCAAAATAGAGGCTTGTCAATGTATTCATTTTTGCCTAATTTAGAAAAATCGTAACTTTATTATTAGTGGGTTGATCATCCTGAATTTTTAGTATGTTTTACCTCAAACCTTCAAGAATAGAGCCTCAAAGTTTCATCTTTGCGCCCTCGATAGTTTTTGAAGTAAAAATTCCAAAATTGAGACTTGTCAATGTATTCATTTTTGCCTAATTTAGAAAATTCGCAACTTTATTCTTAGTGGGTTGATCAGCCTAAACTATTAGTATGTTTTACCTCAAACCTTCAAGAATAGAGCCTCAAAGTTTCATTTCTGCGCCCCCGATAATTTTTGAGGTAAAAATTCCAAAATAGAGGCTTGTCAATGTAATCATTTTTGCCTAATTTAGAAAATTCGTAACTTTATTATTAGCGATGTGATCAGCTTGAATTTTTAGTATGTTTTACCTCAAACCTTCAAAAATAGAGCCTCAAAGTTTCATCTCTGCGCCTCCGATAGTTTCTGAGGTAAAAGTTCCAAAATAGAGGCTTGTTAATGTATTCATTTTGGCCTAATTTAGAAAATTCGTAACTTTATTATTAGTGGGTTGACCAGCTTGAATTTTTACTATGTTTTACTTCAAACCTTCAAGAATAGAGCTTCAAAGTTTCATCTCTGCACCCTTGATAGTTTTTGAGGTGAAAATTCCAAAATAGAGGCTTGTCAATGTATTCATTTTTGCCTAATTTAGAAAAATCGTAACTTTATTATTAGTGGGTTGATCATCTTGAATTTTTAGTATGTTTTACCTCAAACCTTCAAGAATAGAGCCTCAAAGTTTCATCTTTGCGCCCTCGATAGTTTTTGAAGTAAAAATTCCAAAATAGAGACTTGTCAATGTATTCATTTTTGCCTAATTTAGAAAATTCGCAACTTTATTCTTAGTGGGTTGATCAGCCTAAACTATTAGTATGTTTTACCTCAAACCTTCAAGAATAGAGCCTCAAAGTTTCATTTCTGCGCCCCCGATAATTTTTGAGGTAAAAATTCCAAAATAGAGGCTTGTCAATGTAATCATTTTTGCCTAATTTAGAAAATTCGTAACTTTATTATTAGCGATGTGATCAGCTTGAATTTTTAGTATGTTTTACCTCAAACCTTCAAAAATAGAGCCTCAAAGTTTCATCTCTGCGCCTCCGATAGTTTCTGAGGTAAAAGTTCCAAAATAGAGGCTTGTTAATGTATTCATTTTGGCCTAATTTAGAAAATTCGTAACTTTATTATTAGTGGGTTGATCAGCCTGAGTTTTTAATATGTTTTACCTCAAACCTTCAAGAATAGAGCCTCAAAATTTCATCTCTGCGCCCTCGATAGTTTCTGAAGTAAAAATTCCAAAATAGAGGTTTGTCAATGTATTCATTTTTGCCTAATTTAGAAAAATCGTAACTTTATTATTAGTGAGTTGATCAACCTGAATTTTTAGTATGTTTTACCTCAAACTTTCAAGAATAGAGCCTCAAAGTTTCATCTCTGCGCCCTCGATAGTTTTTGAGATAAAAATTCCAAAATAGAGGCTTGTCAATGTATTCATTTTTGCCTAATTTAGAAAATTCGTAACTTTATTATTAGTGGGTTAACCAGCTTGAATTTTTACTATGTTTTATCTCAAACCTTCAAGAATAGAGTTTCAAAGTTTCATCTCTGCACCCTTGATAGTTTTTGAGGTGAAAATTCCAAAATAGAGGCTTGTCAATGTATTTATTTTTGCCTAATTTAGAAAATTCGCAACTTTATTATTAGTGGGTTGATCAGCCTGAGTTTTTAGTATGTTTTACCTCAAACCTTCAAGAATAGAGCCTCAAAGTTTCATCTATATGCCCTCGATAGTTTTTGAGATAAAAATTTCAAAATAGAGGCTTGTCAATGTATTCATTTTTCCTAAATTAGAAAATTCGTAACTTTATTATTAGTGGGTTGATCAGCTTGAATTTTTAGTATGTTTTACCTTAAACTTTCAAGAATAGGGCCTTAAAGTTTCATCTCTGTGCCCTCGATAGTTTTTGAGGTAAAAATTCCAAAATAGAGGCTTGTCAATGTATTCATTTTTGCCTAATTTAGAAAATTCGTAACTTTATTATTAGTAGGTTGATCAGTCTGAATTTTTAGTATGTTTTATCTCAAACCTTCAAGAATAGAGCCTCAAAGTTTCATCTCTGCGTCCTCGATAGTTTTTGAGGTAGAAATTCCAAAATAGAGGCTTGTCAATGTATTTATTTTTGCTTAAGTTAGAAAATTCGTAACTTTATTATTAGTGGGTTGATCAGCCTGAATTTTTAGTATGTTTTACCTCAAACCTTCAAGAATAGAGCCTCAAAGTTTTATCTATATGCCCTCGATAGTTTTTGAGGTAAAAATTCCAAAATAGAGGCATGTCAATGTATTCATTTTTGCCTAATTTATAAAATTCGTAACTTTATTATTAATGGGTTGATCAGCCTGAATTTTTAGTATGTTTTACCTCAAACCTTCAAGAATAGAGCTTCAAAGTTTCATCTCTGCTCCCTCGATATTTTTTGAGATAAAAATTCCAAAATAGAGGCTTGTTAATGTATTCATTTTTGCCTAATTTAGAAAATTCGTAACCTTATTATTAGTGGGTTGATCAGCCTGAATTTTTAGTATGTTTTACCTCAACAACGTGGTTTCAGAGAAAATAAAAATGTCTTCCAAAATTGTATCATGATGTATATAGGAAGAGATATACAGCTGTGTGTAACGTTGAAGCCTCAGTTCGTCGAGGAGGGGATTCCGCTTCCCAATCGACAATATTATCAAGTAAACTGGCTTTTGTCTTGTCTCGTATTCACTGTTACAGGCAGAGGCTTATTTCAATTTCGTAGGATACCAATTTGTTCAACAAATGCCCCTGCTACATTTCAAAGAATCTTCAACAAAGTTACCACGCTGGCATCGATCATCTCATCCATTAAATTGCCTGACAAAAACAGAAAAGTAGCTGTGGATCCGGTCACAATTTTCCAGCGAATGTGTATTGCAAAGCAATCTGAACAGAATTTATAGGATGACTTCAAGTATGAGTTGGCCTCGTTCCCGATGTCAGGGGATGTACAGAGACACAAAATTCACTGTGTACTTCGTCTTCACTCCTCTTTGTGATGTGAGAACAGTTTATTTGCATATCCCCCAAAACCCACTTATGTCTGTTTTTGGTTATCTGCTGTTTTTGAGAGAACCGCTGGGCCTACAGGTACCAGTCTGGTTTTAGATAAAAGCTAATTAAATTTGCTACAACTTTGTTGCCCGTAATATTTGACGTGGGATGCGTATTTTAGAAGATATTTCACAAAATAGATGACTATTTCGTAAAAATTTTACTTTTTGGGAAAAATGTCCTACTTTCGTAGAACTGTATCTTGGGAACCAATAGCTGTATAGAGTTCGTTCTGGTCTCAAACTATAGCAAATTTAGTCTACTCTAGAGTGACTATACTGATCAGACCCTTCTTTCACTGAGATATTGAGCAAAAACTGGAAAAAAAATCATGGTGTTTTGGGTATACCGCCACAGGCATAGCACTTTGGAAATTTTTCGAATCTGGTTTTTTAATAATTAGAGCAAATACGAGAGCCTGGAATAGACAAACTATGTCTAGTACTTTTAACTAAATTATCACAAATTATTATTAGAAATAGAGCAGAGAAAAGAGAAAATGAAGCAATCAGCTATGTAGTACTCGTATAAGCTCCATCGATATAGAATCAACTGTCTGGTACCTTCATATAAAAACTTGCTTGAATATACTGCATTCACTTTTCTAGACATAGGCTAATTTCAATTCCGTACAATACCATTTGGTTCAACAAATGCCCCTGCTACATTCGAAAAAATCTTCGAAACTGTATCGGAAATTTATCATCACTGAAATTCAAAGAGGGATAGTCACTTGATAATCATCTTATAGAATTCCAATTCCGTAGAATGTCATTTGGTTTAACAAATGCCCCTGCTACATCTCAAAGAATCTTTGTGTAACTGTATTGATGATAATGTCATTATAATTTCTGATTTTCTGTAACTTACTGGTGAGATATCAGACTATATCACTCATTCTAAAACTCTATCCGATAATCATCATCAGACACTCCAAAATAAAAAAATAAAAATAATCGAAAAGCAAGTCTATCAAAAAAGCTCTCTTTTTGTTACCACGAGTTTCCCGGAGCGCGCGTGTACGTTATCCTTTGATGCGGAAAACTAAAAAACCGCTTTTATCTCTCGGTTTTTAATTTTCGAGGGGTTGGTGAATTCGCCTGCTCCGTCCCAAAATAAATATGACGCGCTAAATTTAATTAATTCTGTGTGATACCTCTTCCGCATTTAAAAAAAACGACTTGTTGCCCAAAAAAAATTAGGGCGGATTTTAATTTATTAGTATGTAAGTTGGGTTTAGGTCGAAGAGGATTTACACTGATGGAGGGTTTAAGGGCCTTTTTCCCATATATTTTTGCATATTTGATTTGAAAGGGTTTGTAACTTGATTGAGCTAGCAATATTGTAAATGCAAAAGTTTTTTCTATTCCAGGCTCTTGAATTTTTTCTACTTGTTGAGCCAGGAATAAATGAACATTGAGACAAAGAAATGGGGAGGATTTTCGTATGAAAAGGGACTTTTCAAAAAACTAAAACGCGGAACCCAGTCACAGGAAAGAGAACCTCCAATAAATTAAAATCCGCCTTGATCTCATCAGAGAGAAGAATTACTCATATAAAGTTGTTAACCTTGTTCGCAACATTTCGCTTTTGCATATTCAAAATCCTAGAAGATTTGTCCAACAACTCAAACGAAAGTGATAGAAAAAATGATTTACATAAAAACGGAAAGTGAAAGCTGATAATATGGCAAACTAGATCAACTCACCTGCTTGCTGCTTCCTGCAATTCCTATAACAAAAAAACCAATTAAAACAAACCCATGAAAATCCAATCAAAATTACCTTCAAAAATAATAAACAGGACAATCAAAAATTAAAAAATTAAATCCCGTTTAACTGAACAACTCTCGAGCGCACTACTACTACTATCACATTGTTTATGACGTTGCATGTGTCGATGGTACTTACGGTTAGTACGGTCAGCGTGGTACTGCGGAGCGGTTGCGGCTCAGGTTCGTACGTACGGGCCGATGATGCCATGACCTTGCCTAAAGCGGGCAAAACTGCAAAAGGTTGCGAAAACGTAACCAGAACCACCACCGACTTATGCATTTCGAATAGAAGAGTGTGTGTGTGTGTGTGTGTGTGTGTGTGTGTATATTCTTTGGTTCCGCTATTATTAGCTTTGTTTTAATTATTGTAGATTATCGTTTAGTAACGGGATTTGGTTTGTTGGTAGGTTTTTTTGGAAAGATGTTATATGGTACCAGTAGTAGTTGGCCTAGATTTGAAATTGATATACTTCATGGTTTGATGAGTGAAAGGAAGGAACAAGTTACTGAGTTTGCTCAAGTTGAAACATGAAACTTATTGAGTAATGGCGTGGTACTTCGAAGTTCTTTTGTCAAAGATGTATGAGGGTATTTGAATTTCATATTGGTACTTTGAGACACTCAAAGTAAATTCGAAATCCCTTGGTCAAAGGTGTGTGAGTACTTGAATTTCATATTGGTACTTTGAGACATTCATAGCAATTCAAAGTACTTTTGTCAAAGGTGCTTGAATCTCATGGTACTTTGGGTGTTATGTTAAGTAGAAAAACCAAGGGGCAAACCACCTAGGAGTTATTTGCCAAAAATGTGGGGAATTTAGAGGAATTTGTGGGAAATTTAAAGGAATTTGTGGGGAATTTGAAGAACTCATCGGAATTTATGAGAATTTAGGGAATTTATAGGGAATTTAGAGGAATTTATGGGGAATTTGGGAGAATTTGTGAGGAATTTATGAGGAATTTAAAGGAAATTTTAAGTAAGTTGATTTCCAAGATTTTTCATGTTGTTACTTTCCACTGAAAAAATTTGAAATTTCGGGAAAATGAGCTTCTCACCTTCCTCTTTACATGCAAAAAATTTCAAAATTTTCCCTTTAATAGTTTTCTAGGAAAACTTTGAAATGTATGAGACTGTATTTTCAACTAATTCAGTTTTTGTAGGTTGATTTCCAAGATTTTCCACGTTTCTGTTTTCCACTGGAAAAATTTGAAATTTTAAGAAATTGATCTTCTCACTTTCCTCTTTACATACAAAAAGTTTCAAAATTTTCTCTTTACTAGTTTTCCAGGAAAACTTTGGAATGTATAACACTACATTTTCAACTAATTCGGTTTTTGTATGTTGATTTACAAGATTTTTCATGTTGCTGTTTTTCATTGTAAAAATTTGAAATTTTGGGAAAATGTGCTTCTTACCTTCCTCTTTACATGCAAAAAATTTCAAAATTTTCCCTTTAATAGTTTTCTAGGAAAACTTTGAAATGTATGAGACTGTATTTTCAACTAATTCAGTTTTTGTAGGTTGATTTCCAAGATTTTCCACGTTTCTGTTTTCCACTGGAAAAATTTGAAATTTTAAGAAATTGATCTTCTCACTTTCCTCTTTACATACAAAAAGTTTCAAAATTTTCTCTTTACTAGTTTTCCAGGAAAACTTTGGAATGTATAACACTACATTTTCAACTAATTCGGTTTTTGTATGTTGATTTACAAGATTTTTCATGTTGCTGTTTTTCATTGTAAAAATTTGAAATTTTGGGAAAATGTGCTTCTTACCTTCCTCTTAACATGCAAAAAGTTTTAAAATTTTCCCTGCTCTAGTTTTCCATGAAAACTTTGAAATATGTGAGACTGTATTTTCAACTAATTCAATTTTTGTAAGTTGAATTCCAAGATTTTTCATGTTGCTGTTTTCTACTGGAAAAATTTGAAATTTTGGGAAAATGAGCTTCTCACCTTCCTCTTTACGTGCAAAAAGTTTCAAAATTTTCCCTTCACTAGATTTCCAGGAAAACTTTGAAATGTGTGAGACTGTATTTTCAACTAATTCAGTTTTTGTATGTTTATTTCCAAGATTTTTCATGTTACTGTTTTTCAGTGGAAAAATTTGAAATTTTGGGAAAATGAGCTTCTTACCTTCTTCTTTACATGCAAAAAGTTTCAAAATTTTCCCTTCTCTAGTTTTCCAGGAAAACTTTGGAATGTGTGAGACTGTATTTTTCATGTTGCTGTTTTCCACTAAAAAAAATTTGAAATTTTTGGAAAATGAGCTTCCCACCTTCCTCTTTACATGCAAAAAGTTTCAAAATGTTCCCTTCTCTAGTTTTCCAGGGAAACTTTGAAATGTGTGAGGCTGTATTTTCAACTAATTCAGTTTGTGTAAGTTGATTTCCAAGATTTTTCATGTTAATGTTTTCCACTGGAAAAATTTGAAACTGGAAAAATGATCTTCTCACCTTCCTCTTTACATGCAAAAAGTTTCAAAATTTTCCCTTCTCTAGTTTTCCAGGAAAACTTTGAAATATGTAAGACTGTATTTTCAACTTATTCAGTTTGTGTAGGTTGATTTTCAAGATTTTTCATGTTGTTGTTTTCCACTGGAAAAATTTGAAATTTTGGGAAAATGAGCTTCTCACCTTCCTCTTTATATGCAAAAAGTTTCAAAATTTTCCCTTGACTAGTTTTCCAGGAAAACTTTGAAATGTGTGAAACTGTATTTTCAACTAATTCAGTTTTTGTAGGTTGATTTCCAAGATTTTTCATGTTGCTGTATTCTACTGGAAAATTTTGGGAAAATTAGTTTCTCACCTTCCTCTTAACATGCAAAAAGTTTCAAAATTTTCCCTTCTCTAGTTTTCTAGGAAAACTTTGAAATATGTGAGACTGTATTTTCAACTAATTCAATTTTTGTAAGTTGAATTCCAAGATTTTTCATGTTGTTATTTTCCACTGGAAAAATTTGGAACTTTGGGAAAATGAGCTTCTTACCTTCCTCTTTACATGTAAAAAGTTTCAAAATTTTCCCTTTATTAGTTTTCCAGGAAAACTTTGAAATGCGTGAAACTGTATTTTCAACTAATTCAGTTTTTGTATGTTTATTTCCAAGATTTTTTCATGTTACTGTTTTTCACTGGAAAAATTTGAAATTTTGGGAAAATGAGCTTCCGACCTTCTTCTTTACATACAAAAAGTTTCAAAATTTTCCCTTTACTAGTTTTCCAGGAAAACTTTGAAATATGTGAGACTGTAATTTCAACTAATTCAGTTTGTGTAGGTTGATATCGAAGATTTTTCATGTTGTTTTCCACTTTTCATGTTGTTTTCCACTGGAAAAATTTGAAATTTTGGAAAAATGATCTTCTCACCTTCCTCTTTACATGCAAAAAGTTTCAAAATTTTTCCTTTACTAGTTTTTAGGAAAACATTGAAATGTGTAAGACTGTATTTTCAACTAATTTAGTTTTTGTAGGTTGATTTCCAAGATTCCTCATGTTGTAATTTTCTACTGGAAAAATTTTAAATTTTGGGAAAATGAGCTTCTCGCCTTCCTTTTTGCATGCAAAAAGTTTCAAAATTTCCCCTTTTTTTCGAGGAATTTGTGGGGTATTTGGAGAAGTTCATGGTGGCCTATTTGGAGGAATTTGTGATGGGGTATCTGAAGGAATTTGGAGGAATTTGCAGTAATTTTGAAGAATTATGCGTAAAAAATTCCCCTTTGAGGAATTGTTTGCACCAATTCTGGGATGGTGGTTTACCGCTTGGTAAGAGAGGTGTGGGGGTAGTTGAATTTTATATTGGTACTTTGAGACACTCAAAGCAATTCAAAGTACTTGTTTCAGAGGTTTGTGTGGGTACTTTAATTGCATATTGGTAGCTACTTTCTACTTTGAGACACTCAAAATACTTTTGTCAAATGTGTGTATATTATTCGACATGGCCTCACAAAACCATCTATTACTCCGTTAATATTTCACATATTTCAATGTAAAAACAACTATTCTGAATCAGAACTTATTGCTCTTAATTTTCGAAAAAAATTCACTTTTTGGAAAAATTGTCCAATTTTCGTAGAACTATATTTTGGGAACCAATGGCTGATGATGAAAGTGACTATACCGATCAGATCTTTCCTTCACTGAGATATTGAGCAAAAACTTAAAAAAAATAAATAAATATAGAGCAGAGAAAAGAGAAACTGAAGCAATCAGCTACGTAGTACTTTTATAAGGTCCATCGATATAAAATCAGCTGTCTGGTACCTTCACATGAAAACTCGTTTGAGTATACTGCATTTACTGTTCCAGACATAGGCCTATTTCAATTTCGTAGAACACCATTTGGTTCAACAAATGTCCCTACTAAATTTCAAAGAATCTTCGACCCTGTATCGTTTTGAAACAGAAGGTTATCATCATGAAATCGGAAGAGGGATAGTCACTTGAGAATCATCTTCTAGTATTCCAATTACGTAGAATGCCATTTGGTTTAACAAATGCCTCTGCTACATTTCAAAGAATCTTCGTAACTGTTATTGATAACATGGCCTCACAAAATCATCCATTACTCCGTTGATATTTTACATATTTCAATGTAAAAACAACTATTCTGAATCAAAATTTGATGCTCTTCAAGATAAAACAAGTTTGATTCCAATATTTGAAACAATTTTTAAGATATGGGCCTCCAAAGTTGAAACTTTGTTTCAGATTTCTATAAAGCTCCTTAAATATTCCTCCATAAACAAAAAAGTCCTTGCTCTTTCGCAATCAATTTCAATTGAAGCACCAATAAAATCCTAATTACGACCGAATAAATAGAATAAAAAGATCCGCGGGGGAAAATGTTAATCTTGTAGTCTAAAACTGGAATTAAACGAAACTCCACTCCGAAAAGGCTTTTATAATAAATTTAATGCAGTTGTTATCCCTCCTCCCCATAGCTACCGAATTCGGGTCAGCGAACATTTCGCAGATTCTGCTAGTGATAGACGTCCTAATTAAATCCAAAGATGCAACCGCACATTTGTTGAACTTTACCTAAATCGGTTTTTGTTCAAAAGTGTTTCTTAACAAGTTGAAAGATACAGTAGATTTGATCCAATTTAAAACCAAAAAGAAACAAAGTATATGTTAAAATGGATAAGTCACACAATTCTTAAATATTCTGTCTAAGGATGCAAGTTTTAATCTATCATCCCTTCTACCAGCTTCCGGCTGAGAAACTAGGAAAATAAATTCACTGTCCGAAATATTATTTAATTTATATTCTGGCATAAAGAACTGGGTGCTATTTGCCTTTAGAAAACTTGAGGGGAGGGTTCTTTTATATAGTATAAATTGTCTGGGAAATTAAAGCGGAGTTTTGGCAAATATCCAAAATAGAAAAATCTTGTGTGATAATTATCATGATATTAACTCATTGATATTTTCTAGGAAAAATCTTATTCGATGCGGCAAAAATTAGGATTATTGTCGTGTACTTTGTTTGGTTGGGGGCGGAAATTCTAGGACGCAAGGACTTCGAAACTCGTCGGTTTTATTTAATTATCTTAAGTGCTTCCTATTGTTACTCGCTCTCTACAAAGTTGAATTTCGTCTGAGCAGTGTATACGTTTTAATGAATTTCTAATGAGGACTTTATGAATTTTAAAAAGAATTCTTCCTTATATTGAACGCCAACTCAAGATAGTTATTGTGTAAATGAAGTTTAATTTGAATTGTTAAACGGTGAATTTTTTTGAAATTGTTTGTACAACTTATAGTTTCCGAAAAGGTCTTTTTGATTTCTGGTATCCTGTGTAAGACATTAGAGCAGAATATACCAAAAGTTTAAAGCAATTGAACAAAGAACACAAAAGTTACATTGATTCTGAGATAATTGAGACAAAGTTTCAACTTTGAAGGCTCATATCTTAAGAAATGTTCAAAATGTTGAATTCACTTATTTCATCTTGAAGAGCATTAAATTCTGATTCAGAATAGTTGTTTTTACATTGAAATATGTGAAATATCAACGGAGTAATACAAGATTTTGTGAGGCCATGTCGAATAAATGAAATTTTCAGAGACCAATATAAGTCTTTTCAATTTGTTTCAAGCCTTTAAACCTTTAACATAGAGCCGTTAGAATGATTTTCTACTAAATTTCACCTCCTCTTTCGATTGGTAGAGTTAGAAATTTGAAAAATCCAAAGGAATAATTTTAGACATAGCACCAAAGGAACTCTATAGAAATCTGACATAAAGTTTCAACTTTGGAGGCCCATATCTTTAAAACCGTTCCAAATATTGAAACCAAACTTATTTCACCTTGAAGAGCATTAAGTTCTGAATGAATAATATAGTCTGATATCTCACCAATGAGTTACAGATAATTAGAAAGAGAAGTCAAAATTATAATGATATTATCATCAATAACAGTTACGAAGATTCTTTGAAATGTAGCAGAGGCATTTGTTAAACCAAATGGCATTCTACGGAATTGGAATACTATAAGATGATTCTCAAGTGACTATTCCTCTTCCGATTTCATGATGATAATCTTCTTTTTCACAACGATACAGGGTCGAAGATTCTTTGAAATTTAGTAGGGGCATTTGTTGAATCAAATGGTGTTCTACGAAATTGAAATACGCCTATGTCTGGAACAGTGAATGCAGTATACTCAAACGAGTTTTCATGTGAAGGTCCTTATACGAGTACTACGTACCTGATTGCTTCAGTTTCTCTTTTCTCTGCTCTATTTATATTTTTTTTCAGTTTTTGCTCAACATCTCAGTGAAGGAAAGGTCTGATCGGTATAGTCACTTTCATCATCAGCCATTGGTTTCCAAGATATTTTTCCAAAAAAATTAAATTTTTTCGAAATTAAGAGCATTAAGTTCTGATTCAGAATAGTTGTTTTTACATTGAAATATGTGAAATATCAACGGAGTAATACAAGATTTTGTGAGGCCATGTCGAATAAATGAAATTTTCAGAGACCAATAAGTCTTTTCAATTTGTTTCAAGCCTTTAACATGAAAATGTCAGAATGTTTTTCTACTAAATTTGACCTCCTTTTTCAATTGGTAAAGTGGGAAATTTGAAAAATTTAAAGAAATAATTTTTGATGTTAGCAACAAAGGAGCTCTATGGAAATCTGACACAAAGTTTCAACTTTGGAGGCCCATATATTAATAACTGTTTTAAATATTGGAATCAAACTTACATTTACCATTTTGTTAAGAATATTGCGCATATTTATTCATAAATCTAGAAAGGTTTCTATGTACTCAAGAGCTGAAATGAATAACAAAAAATCTTATCGGTTATGTTTGAACAAGTCCAAAAATCAAGATAAAAATAAAAAGACAACCTCAACGATTAATTCTAAAGCCCTTGAAAATAAGCGGCAACACGTGTGAAATGAAAAAGGGTCTTTTTAGGTACGTCGTCGTCCTCTCCGCATAACTGTTTTAGGGTTCAATAATCTACCCATAGAACGGAAACGGAGCCTCAATTTTTTCTACCGACGCAGATCTTGTTCAGCAATAATAATTAGAACCGAAACAAGTCAGGCATCATTGTAATGTGCAGCGAACACGCTTTATCGAACTGCCTTTTAAAACAACGATTCAGTCATAAACGTCAACGCCGACTATAAAAGCTTTTGTAATTTCAGTCTCCGGCCTCTCTCTTTCGCTTTATCCCAGTCGTTTCTCCATCTCTCCTCCGCTGGGGCCCCGCAATGGTTATGAGCTGGAAATAGACTTTAATCAATCT